CCCCCCAAAATTAGAAAGGGCATATAGCATATGCTTGTAGTAGTGACTGAATAAAAAGGCCCGACAGTATATGTAGAGGGGAAATTAAAGACAAATTTCGATCAGCGAGCTCTGCCAATGAAGGTATCCAAGCTCATTTCACTTGGATCAGTAGCTTGCAACTCAACTTGGACACCATCAAATTCTCTCCTGAATCTATCTTTGGAACTTGCATACAGCATCTTACTTCTTACTCTTGCTGTTTCTGGTGACCTACATCCCACACAGCAGTTTTATCAAGTCACATGAATAATGGCTCAAGTATATCTTTCAATATTAAATAAACTTCTTATCATAGAAGCTTTTAGCCCCATCTAAATGTAACCAAAAAAGCAGCTCAGTGCACAAGGCATCCTGCGTTCACGCAGAATTTGGGGAAGGGCCACACCCCAAGGGGTGTGATGTAGACACAACCTACCCTAATGCAAGCATTAATGGCTACTTCCACGGCTCGAACCCGTGACCTATAGGTCACATGGAGACCAACTTTACCGTCGCTCCAAGGCTCCCAATGACCATAAACCTATGTTGCACAAATTCCTCCAAAAATGCCGTCAGGTATGTGTTGGATCCTCTAAATGTTATGCATCATTAGAGAATTTGACACCGGTGCTGCTGCATTTTTAGAGGATTCGAGCAGTATATATAATCATAAATCACAGCCAGCAAAAAGATTCGTGCAATGCAGCATTCTATGTTAGCATGCATACTTATGAAGAAGCTAGATTAATTCGTATAATGCAACACTCATATGTGAAATTACGTGCACTGAACATTGTTCCAAAGATAAATTGAAAACCAGAGATTCATTAAAAGGATGATACATACGCACAAACTTGAAAATAGGCCATCAATTAATGTTAACCTACAACAAGAAGTAAGAATTCTTTATATTGCGAGTGTAAAAATAATAGTAGGACGTACCAAGCAACGAAGAAGATCTTGCTTTTCTGGACATTTTCATCAGTAGTGTAATCATAGTCAAAAACAGCATAGCGGCATTCATTGGAAGGCAAGCTGTTGGAAAAATCTTGATGAGTCTCTCCTTGTTCGCCAACCTTGTCAACAACAACTTGCTGACCCTCAATCTTGAACACTATGTATCTGTAGTTCCTTTTTGCTTTCAACTCCATGAATTTCAGCTTGCACTCATCACTCACTGCTATCCCTGATGCCGAATTCGCCTATTTTTCAAATATATCACACAGTTACATGCACACACATGCAACGAAAAAACACGGTTGATTAGTTTTAAAAAGGGATATTAAGAACCATCAAATGTTATGGCGAGGTGGTAAGTCTCTTTCATCTTTAACCACAAACCAGAATTAGTCAGGCCCTAAATCGGTACCGGACATCCGATAAAAGGAAATCAAGAAAAACCGTAATTTTGAGACAAACACTAGGCATAGGACCTGTAGCAGCTAACCTCCTCTGCTTTTCTCATTACCCACCTATTTTCAGGTAAATAGTTACCCATATGTACCTTATAAATAATTTGATATGTGAGGGATTGAGCTTTAATTATATTGAGAGGAATATGAACAAATAATTTATAGTAATCCCTTTCAAGAAATTATATTAAGTGTCATCAGTCTTACAACAAGATACAGTACAAATTACTACGCATTTCAATATCTGATCATAGGATTAGATTTGTCCCTAAATCAAAATGAGATATTTTGTTCTCATGTTTTTTTCTAAGACATTTGCCTTTCATTTATATGTTCAAAATGTCCGTGCATGACGAGAAAATACAGAAAACTGAAAAAAAAGAAGAAAAAACAAGAACAAAATATATCTCTACAATAGAGAAGAAATTAAATGCATGCAACATACCATTTGGATAAGCGGCGAACAATGGAATTAGCTTCTGCAAACAATGAAAAGGAAGCAAAGTTAGGAAAAAACAGGAGAAGGAAAGAGGGCAAAAGTGTGTGTTGTAGAAATATTCAAAGGGCTGAGAGCTCTTGTAGCGCTGTTTTGGACAAAAACACAAGTGTTTGTTGCTTGCTATACATCTCGTTCGTCATTCATCCTATAATTTTGGATCGTATAATTTCTTGGAATTAATTTTGTTAACCAACAAAAGGATATACAAGTTTTTAAATTGGGTTATATCATCTCATGATGAAGAGTCGCAAGAAGCAGTTTAGTGGTTAAAATTTTAGTGTCACAACTGAACACATAACTTTTGATACATAATATAATTAATATATATAAATCTATTAAATCTCAATAAATATTAAATTTGAACCTATAATTTTAACAGTATAATAAATTCAATGTTGAGAATCTTAGAAATTGAACTCACTTATCATTTGCATTCTTGCGTTACTGTTTCTAATTTGATTTAGACCTTTTAAATGTATAATTGCTTCGGTTTCAATATATTTCGATTTTGTTATTGTATTAGCTCTAATTTCCAACTATGCAAATGAAGAACGTTACTTTAAATTTTACATTAATTATTACCGATTCATTAAATGCATTAATTTGAAGTAGAAATTACACAATTTTTTTCCTTTCAAAATAGTTTGAGATAATTTTAGAGATCTCCCCTCACGTTTCACTTCATCACATGTCCTCCGTTATCATTTACGATATTACGCTTACCTCCCTTATTGCGATATTATAAACATAATACCGTAAACCACAAAGGAGATTAGTGTGATGGAGTAAAATATAAAGGAAAGTCTCTAAAATTATCTCAAATAGTTTATAACCTACATGCTACAAATAACACTTGTCAAAAAGAGTTCTGGGAATAAATATCTGAAACAAAACGTTGCTTGTTCCATTCCGTCAGTGAGAGGATCTAATGTTAGTATTCTAATAGTCTCTAAGTACTAACGTCACGTTTGTCCATAAAAAAAATGTTTGCCCATGAAATTTTACAAATTTTTTTAAAAAATTCGAAAATAAGTTTCTTAAATGACCACCTTTTCAAAATTTCAAGAAAAACTCTTTTCCCCGCTCACAAAAAGTGCAATATTTTTTCAAGTGAAATGAATGTTCAAACATAATTTCAATTTCCAAATACCATTTTTTAACTTAACTCCAAATATTACTTGTTTTTCAAAAATTATAATTTTTATGTCCAAACGCGTACTAAAACGAATATATATGTCACGACCTAAAATCTCACCTGTCGTAATGGCGCCTATCTCAATACTAGGCAAGCCGACAATCTCAATAAACCACCATATCTTTTAAATTTGAAAACATAATAATTAAATTCAGTGGCAGAAATCTCACAAATAAAAATATAACACTCCCAAAAATCCGTTGTCACTGAGTACATGAGCATCTAATATGAATACAAGGTCATACTGATAAAACACTGTCTGAAAGTATAGAACATTACAATAACTGGAAGGAAAGAGAGTCAAGGTCTGCGGACGCCAAGCAGCTACCTTGATAGTCTCCAGCAGATAAATCCTCAAATCTGGCAACCACCGTATCCGGAAGTACCTGGATCTGCACACGAGGTGCAGAGTATAGTATGAGTACAACCAACTCAATAAGTAATAAGACTAACCTCTAGGCTGAAAGTAGTGATGAGCTCCGCAGATACACTCCAGTACATAAATAATGGTACAGAAATATAGGCATGCTTGCAAGTTCCACAGTTAAACTCAGTACAAGCAAAATAGCTAAATACTGCATGATATGAGAAATGTGACATCTCAGTGAAAAGACTTCATGTACTGCTGGTCACAAATTATTCGGTCACTCGGTATTGTTTATGGCCAATCCAACTCAGGGATATTCCATCCCGTATATATATTCACATCGACTGACAGTGAGTCCGTCAATACCGTGTAAGGCTAATCCAGCCCTGGGGTAATTTACTCCCACTTGTAAATGATACGGATAAGATCCATGTCCAGGAAAAATTCATCACAATATAAATAAATAAGGCAAGTTCATGCCCTGGGAAGTCCATCCCGAATATATATATATATATA